CCCCAAAACCCCAAAACCCCAAAACCCCAAAACCCCATATAAAATTTTACGATTGAGGTGGTATTATAAATTTATTAGAACTTCAGAATGGAAGAGACCAAATCAACCGAATTAGGTACTGTGCACACCACTAGTAGCGGTGCTCCGGTAGGAGATAACCAGAATTCAATGACTGCTGGAGCAAGAGGCCCAACCTTGTTGCAAGATTTCACCTTAATCGACAAATTAGCTGCATTCGATAGGTAAGATACGTCTTTATTGATAATTTAGAGAAGAAATCCCAGAAAGAATTGTTCACGCTAAAGGTGCTGCCGCCCATGGTGTCTTCGAAGTTACCAACGACCTCACCAAGTATACTAAGGCTGCTTTCCTTAACACTATTGGAAAGAAAACTCCAGTTTTTCTCAGATTCTCAACTGTCGGAGGAGAAAGAGGTAGTGCAGATACTGAAAGAGATCCAAGAGGATTCGCTATTAAGTTCTACACTGAAGAAGGAAACTATGACATGGTTGGTAACAATACTCCAGTCTTCTTTATCAGGGATGCCATAAAGTTCCCAGAATTTATCCATACCCAGAAGAGATGCCCAATCTCTGGACTTAAAGATCCAAACATGGCATGGGACTTCTGGACAAAGCACACTGAATCACTTCATCAAGTAATGATTCTTTTCTCAAACAGAGGAACTCCAAATGGTTACAGAAGAATGAACGGATACTCTTCTCACGCCTTCAAGTGGGTCAACGAAGAAGGAGAATCATTCTACGTTCAATATCACTTCAAGACTGATCAGGGAGTTAAAAACTTCACTGCTGAGGAAGCACATCAGATGAAGGCTGATAACCCAGACTATGCCACTCAAGATCTCTTCCAACACATTGATAAAGGAGAGTTCCCAAGTTGGACTTTCAAGGTACAAATTATGCCAGAAGCTGATGCTGCCAAGTACAAGTGGGACGTTCTCGATATCACTAAAGTTTGGCCTCATGAAGATTATCCCCTCATTGAAGTTGGAAAACTCACTTTGAACAGAAATCCCAAGAATTACTTCGCTGAGACTGAGCAATCCGCTTTCTCTCCAAGTCACCTAGTTCCAGGAATTGAAGCTTCAAATGATAAAATGCTTCAAGGAAGACTCTTCTCTTACCCAGATACCCACAGACACAGATTAGGTCCAAACTATCACACCATCCCAATCAACTGTCCATACAGAGTCCAGACCAGAGATTACTTCCTTGCAGGAATTCATGCTGACGAGCATGAGGGTACCGCTAAGATTCCATACCAAGGAAAATTCAACGATGCTCCAAAGGAATGCCCAGAACATGAGACTAAGAAGTACAAGGTTGAAGGAGAAGCTGGAAGATACGACCAATCTGTCCATCCTAACTCAGACTTTGAGCAGCCAGCCGCTCTTTATAATAAGGTTATGCCTGAAATGGAGAAGCTCGCTTTGGTTGAGAATCTTGCAGGACATATTGGAGCATGCAGAGAGGAGATCCAACTTGCTGCCCTTGAAGCATGGGCTCTTGTTGATGAGAAACTCTCCAAGAGAATCAGAGCTACTATCAACAAGTCTTGCCCAACCTGTTAGGTAAATTTCATAATTACCTAAAATTACGGCCATATTCAGATTATTATTTTTCATTTGCTGAGCAATCAATCTGGAATTCTCAGCATGGGGTTTTGGGGTTTTGGGGTTTTGGGGTTTTGGGGTTTTGGGG